GGTTTTGCCAGCTTGTGATTGAGGTTTTAATTTCCTGTATATCACTTTGAACCTGTTTCATACATTCTATTTCTTCCCTAAATTGTTTATTCAGGGGTTCCATCATTTTTATATTCTGTTCTATTTTTTTATCAGTGTATTCTTTAGAAGCACTTAGTACTTCTTTTATTATAGTTATCACTAAATTTTTTTTTAGTTCAGAAATTATTTCTGATCTGATTTCTTCTATACCTTTCTGCAGTTGTTTCTTTACAGCCAACACTATTATTTCAGAGATATCAGGTGTGTGATTTCCAGTTTCCTCAGTGCTAGTGTCTTCTGCAGTTGTATGGGTGGACTCGGGGCCAGTGACTGCATTTTGTTCCTTCTCTTTGTCATTTTGTGTACCACTGTCTTCTGACCTTTGGTGTAGAGCTTAGAGTTATTACCTTAGCACCAGGTCCAGATCTACGAAGTTCAGATCCCTCCAGGTGGGTGTTGTTTGGATCTGGCTGCTGTGCTCCACTTCTTTCTGCTGCAGCCATTAGAGCTGAACCCTTTGTGTCTCTCTGGCAAGATGTTCTGCTCCTGAATCATCTGGGTGGGTCTTGCCTCTAGCCTCTTTGCAGGGAGTTCTGCCGAAGGGTTCCTCGCTGGGCCTGCACTTTGGGTCGAATGAGGATCTGCGGGCCCCGGGCAGTCTCACTCACACATCGGACCTCGGCTCTGGGTCTATTCAGGATCCACGGGCCCCAGGTCGTCTCACTTACTTGCCAGGCCTGAGCTCTCGGTCTATTCAGGATCCCATGGGCCCCAGGTCATTTCACTCCCCTTTACCTTTTGGTAATGCGTATTTTGTCTTAGCAACAACAGAAAAGTAACTAAGGCACAGCCTCTCTGGACTTTGAAAGTAATGTGCTACTCATTTGTGTATGATATATTGATGCACTTAGAAAGTGACATAAAAACCTATTTTTTAATGGGGTACAGAACCACACACAAAAAAAACGGGAAGTTCTGCAATAGCTGCTCCATCCCTGGAGTCACATGAGCCAGGGGATCCAATGGAACCTGAACTATAAATGGAAACACAAATGTTGCGTAAAGCCCTTGGGAGGCCCCTGAAGGAGCATTGTAGGACATACCATTAGAATTTTGGAGCAAGTTTTCGCTACCATCTGTAGTTAACTACTCTCCTTGATAAGCTACTGGTGATTTGGAGACAGTGATTGTTTGACCATGGGACAGCAAATCATGCAACCTGTCCATCATGGACTGTGGTAGTAAAACTTGTACCCAAAATCTCATGTTCTGCTAGCCTAAACATCTTAGTTCTAGAGGAAGGAATACTTTTACCATGAAACATAAACATAATTCCACTGAAAACTTAAAGCTATGACTGCTACATGGACTCTATTAGGACTGCTACATGGACTGCTACATGGACTCTACTATTAGGCTTTTTATGCTTCTGCATCAATAAGAAATAAAAAGAGTCATGGTATTGGCTGATATGACCAATCTTACCTATCTGGGAAAACTGAAGCACTCCACAATGGAGGAAACAAAAAGTCCTCTGAAATGTGGAAGACCCATTAGTGTGTCTCTTATTATTCTTACAGCCATTGGTAAAGACTGACAGACAGCTACAATAATGCACTGTAGCCTAGACCCTTCACAACGGAACACTTGGGTTACCTATCATGTAAGGAACTGTGACCAGCTAAAGTGCCTGATGAATGAAAAGGCAATAAGGCATACTACTAGCAGGTATTTATACATATTGGCTACAATCATGGAAATACTTCTCAAAAACCTGTATTTGTCATGAGTATTTCTATAATTGTCGTGTGTTCACAGGCATGTGCACATGTGTATGTGTGTGTATGTATATGCACACCTGCTGAGCAGCTTTCCCATTTCTAGGACAAAGCGCCTGAATCTCCAACTTAAAGAAAGAAATGGCTCATACCTTCGGGCAATGGTTGGCTAGTTCTCTTGCTGTGGGTCTGGGGAAATGCAGGACAACATGGCAAAAAGTCATTATGGTGAGGCAAAGCTGCTCATTTCATGGCAGTTGTTGTCTTAGTTACTTTTTACTCATTGCTGGGACAAAAATACCTGACACCCAAAGTGAAGGAAGAAAAGGTTTATTTAGCTCACAGTTTGTGGAGGTTTCAGTTTATACTCCACTGGCTCCAACACAAACAATAGCAGTTCCTGCGGCAGAAAACAATGAAGAGCAGAGGAGGAGCGGCAGCTGTGGCGTCCATCAAGCCTCTTTCTTCCTTCTACGCTGACTGCAAAGACCTGTGCTCCACTGCGAAGATTGCAGCTCCTCCAAAGTGGTGTGGCTGCAAAGATCAATCTCCTCCAAAGACTGGGACTTTTCCAAGGAAACAGGGCAGGGCAGGCAGGCAGCTTTCCTCAACTTTTTTTTTTTTTTTTTTTTGAACCGGGGATTGAACTCAGGTCCTTGCACTTGCCAGGGAAGCACTTATTCCACTGGGCCATCTCCCCAGCCCTCAACTTCTTTATATATACTTTTTGTGCCAAGTCACTCTGGGGCAGCCCATTGCCCTAGGGTGAAACTAATTGTACCCCAGGATGGGCCCAATAGCCCTTTATGGTGGAACCAATCGTACCCCAGTGCCGGCCCAATAGTGCCCCAGGGTGGGACCAATGGTACCCCAGATTGGGCCCTGCCCACCTGCAGCATGGGGCCTCCATGCCCAGATTCAGCTGGATTGTGAAACAGAGCAAGCAAAGTGTGCCAAAGAGGAAGAGGTCCAGAGACCAGATATAGGTCCCATGTTGAAGTGCACTTTAATATTTTTCCAGCCAATTAAGCTGAAAAACAAGATCAACTATCTCAGTATACCTATAACTAAGCAAAAATATTTTTCTTTCCTCTTCCATTCCTGTAACAAAAATTTACTTTTATCTATATTAAATATTGCTAATTTTACATCATTGTATTTGTTACAAGGTTTCCAGAGAAGAATAAACATTATTCAAGGTCTTGGGGCTGGGGAGATGGCTCAGTAGGATAAGCGCTTGACTGGCAAATGCAAGGATCTGAGTTCAATCCCTGGTTCCGCTAAAAAAAAAAAAAATCAAGGTCTTTACCACCTTTGAGGAAGACGGAATTAATACATTTATTTGTACACAAGTTGGTTGCAATATTTTTTTTTAAATTTATTTATTTTATTTATTTTTGTGTGTGGCCAGCTCAGCCCACCAGGGGGCGGCGCTGGCTGGCATGTGGTGCTGGGGGATTGAACCGCGGTCCCTGTGCTTTGCTAAGCTTGTTCTAAGTAGGTGCTTTAGACCACTGAGCCATCTCACCAGCCTGGTTGCAATATTAAGGGTTTTTTTAACCTACTTATTTTTTTGGCAGAATTGGGTATTGAACTCAGGCCCTCGAGCTTGCCAGCGAAGCACTTATTCTTCTGAGCTATCTCCCCAGCCCTTTACCTATTTATTGTTTCTGTTTAGATAATTTGCTTTAAGGAGAATAGCATAGATACTCAGTTGGCTAGGACTTACAATAATTAGTTTTTAAAAAATTATTTTTAGGGCTGGTGAGATGGCTCAGTGGTCTAAAGCACCTACTTAGAACAAGCTTAGCAAAGCACAGGGACCGCGGTTCAATCCCCCAGCACCACATGCCAGCCAGCCCTGCCCCCTGGTGGGCTGAGCTGGCCACACACACACACACACACACACACACACACACACACACACACAAATTTAAAAAAAAATTATTTTTAGGTGTGTACTTGACTGGGATAAGTCCCAAGAAATGGTACAATATTATGCCTGGCTGTGTTTGTGAACTTGTTTTCAGAAGGGTTAGTGAACATATGAATCAATAGGCTGAGTAAAGATAACCCTCACCAATGAGAGTGGATATCATCCAACTTGTGGAAGGCCTGAATCAGACAAAAAGGTGGAGGAAGAGGGAATTTTCTTTTCTGACAGAGCTGGGATATTCATCTCCTTCACCTGAACACGAGTGCTCCAGGTTCTTGAGTTTGCAGTGTTGGCCTGGGACTTACACAGCTAGCTTGCCTGACTCTCAGGCCTTTGGATTTAGGCTGAAATATAACTACTTTCCTGGTTCCGTAGGTTACACACAGAAGATCATACAAACTCTTGATTCCTGTAATTGCATAAACCAATTCATACAATAAATTTCACACATATGCACACAGGCATGCACACATAAAACACACACACACACACACACCTCTCTTGTTTTTCTGGAGATTTCTACTATAATATTGGAAATATATCTATATATATTCTCAACCCTAAACCTACCTTTAATATCTGCTGGACTTTAGTTTCTACTGTATGAGCTTGAAATTTCTTCAGAGGCTCCATTCTATATGAATTAGCAAACTTTAATTTTGACAGGGCACTCTTCCACTCTTTACCTATGTCAGCAATTGAGTCATCCAATGGAGGTTCTACATACTGAACATCATGAATTGATTCTCTTAGTCTTTCTTTTAAGATCTGTGCATACTGGAGAGAGGGAAAGTGGAAGTGGGAGGGAGGGGAAGCAAAGAAGGGAGCAAGGGAGAAGGAGAGAAAAAGATCACTTTTCAAATTGTAATTCTGGATTAAAGAATCCTGACATAATGGATGGAGCAAGGCAGACACAAAACTTGGAAATGTGTTATAACAGACTTCTGGGAAAATATAGTCACTAAATACTAGATTTACCCAAATCTAATTGGCAAAAGAAAAAAAAACTTTTTTTTTTTTTTATTGGCACATCTTTTTTATTTATTTTATTTATTTATTTGTGTGTGTGTGTGTGTGTGTGTGTGTGTGGCCAGCTCAGCCCACCAGGGGGCGGGGCGGGCTGGCATGTGGTGCTGGGGGATTGAACCGCGGTCCATGTGCTTTGCTAAGCTTGTTCTAAGTAGGTGCTTTAGACCACTGAGCCATCTCACCAGCCCGAAAAAAAACCTTTTGATTTGCACACACAAGCATATATATGTAAATTTGTGTACGTACATTTACAATATTCACAGAACATGCAAAAGAACTAAAAACAAGAGTAGTTTCCAAAAAGGGCAACTGAGTGGCTTGGGTGGGGATGTAAGGTGAACCATTTATCAACCCCACACAATATCATCTATTCTGCTTTGAACTTAGTTTCTGTAAATAAGTATTTGGGTAACAAATTCCTAAGTCTTAAGTTGAAAAGATCACAAAAATGTATTGATTTGATATCCCCATCAGTCGACATTTTTGGTATACAATATTCATTTTTTGACATTCAACATACATTAAAGAAACATTTATTTATGACCTAGTATTTTCCCAGTAAGTGATTTGTTTATATTAAAGTGATGACCCTCATTTTCTTTTCTTTTACATTTTTATGTATTTGGTTCATGGCATGTGTTACCACGGATCAAACCCAGGTCCTTGTGCTTACCTAGGCAGGTGCTTAGACCACTGAGCTATCTCCACAGCCCGACCCTCATTTTCATAATAGCCAATAATTCCTTTTCCTTACCTAATTGCTTAGCTAGAATAAGAATGGCAAAAATTGACATCCTTGCCTTGTTCTTAATATTAAAGGAAACTTTTTAGTCTTTTTCTCATTAAGCATATTTGCTGTGGTTTTTTAATGTATGTTTTCCATTATGTCGTGGTAGTTTTTTATTGCTTTTAAAAATCACAAAATCATTTGACAAAAATAATTTTGATTTTTTTTTTATCCATTCTTCAGTTCATGGGCATTTGAGCTGTTTCCAAGATTTAGATATGACAAATTGTTCTTCTATAAATATGGGTGCACATATATCACTGCAATATACTTTTAATTCTTCTGGAAAGATACCCAGGGAGGAAATAGCTGGGTGAAATGGGACCTCTAATCCTAGGTGGGGTTGTTTGTTTTAGTGGAACCGGGGATTGAACTCAGGCCCTTGCACTTGCCAGGGAAGTGCTTATTCCACTGAACCATCTCCCTAGCCCGTTTGTTTTGAGACAGGGTCTCACTATGCAGTTCCTGCTGTCTTTGTGCTCACTTTTGTAGTCCCCAAGTTGGTCTCAATCTCACAGAGATCCTCCTGGCTCAACCTCCCAAATGCTGGGATTATAGGTGTGCTCCACCACAGTGGGTGCCCGTATCCAGGGCTGAGATGGAGCGTGTGGGCATCTGGGGCTATGACTGCATGGCATGTGGGGCTGAGGATCGAACTTGGGTCCTTGTGCTTGCCAGGTAGGTGCTTATGCCCCTGAGCTTTCTCTCTGGCTCCTCTAATCCTAGTTTTCTGAGAAATCTCCACAAGGATTGCCACAGTCATTCCACCAGTTTACAGGCCCACCAACAGTGGAGAAGGGTTCCTTTTTGTTCATAGTTCCTCCAGCATTTATTATTGATTGGTTTCTTGATGACAGATATTTTCTAGAGTGAGATGGAATCTCAGTGTTGTCTTAATCTGCATTTCTTGAATAAACAATGATACTGAACACTTTTTAAAATATATTTGTCATTTGTATTTCTTCCTCCGAGAACTGTGTATTCATTCCCATTTTTGGATTGGGTCTTTGAATTTGGGGGGTCTGATTTCTTTCCATTCTCTTTTTCTTTCTTCTTCTTCTTCTTTTTTTTTTTTAACGTACTTGGTTGTTACAGAGTCTCACTACAGTTTGGGACTCATAGTGATCTTCCTGCGTTCAGCCTCCCCAGTGCTAGGATTACAGGCATGCACCACTATGCCTGGACTCTGGCCAGCTCAGCCTGCTCTGGGGGCAAGGCTAGCAAGTTATGCGGTGCCAGGATCAAACCCTGGTCCCTGTGTTTGCCTAAACTTGCCTAAGTAGGCATTTAGTCTGTTGAGCTATCTCACTGTCCCCTGATTTCTTTCAATTCTTTTTTTTAAAAAGAATTTATTTTTTTAAATTTTATTTGTGTGTGTGTGTGTGGCCAGCTCAGCCCGCCTAGGGGCTAGGCTGGCTGTCATGTGGTGCTGGGGGATTGAACCGCGGTCCCTGTGCTTTGCTTAGCTTAGCTTGTTCTAAGTAGGTGCTTTAGACTACTGAGCCATCTCACCAGCCCTCTTTCAATTCTTTTTTTTTAAAAATAATTTTATTGAGAAACAAATAGCAATGAGACAGTTTCAGAACCAATCAGTAGCCTCAGGGATTCTAGATCCCTTGCTCTTAGCACGGATGGAAAAATACAGATAGGCCTATATACACGTAACCTTTCCAGGCCCGGCAGAGCACATAGCCAGTCTTCATCTGAAAAGAAGAAGAACTTTCTAAATTATTTCATGGATATCAAATTCAGTTTGTTCCAGGCGAGGCCAGGACAGGTGGCTTGTTTGCTATAAGTGTGAATAAAAGTCAGTGGAAATTCTCATTAGTTTTTATGTAGAAATAGGGTGATACATTTTTGTTTCCAGTAAAGATCTCATTCTGTTACTTCTTAGTATTGTAGGAGCTCATTAGGTACTTAACTATTTTCCCTTACTCAACTGGGTATTTTAAACTAAAATCCAAATCTTGGAAAAAGCCAGACGTATACTTTGTAGGGTAGAGGGTCAATTAAATGACTAATTTTCTGGAAATTTTGAATACAATACATCTAGAAGTGAAGCATTTTATAAAAATTTCAGACAGGTCAAAGAAGTTTCAGAGGTGATGGGTATGAGGGAAAGTATTCATTTGTAAAGCTAGTCAGGTAGGCTGACTAGTACTGGCCATTAAAAATCTAGATCTATGTAGACCTCTCCCAGGATGTTTCAATGAAAGCTGTTTTCCCACAGCATTTGCTTCTGAAAGGAGAATGGCATGATCAGTTTGAGAGTGATAGTTTGGAAGAAATCTTTATCAGAGTAAGCATATGCTGCAGTAAATAGAATAAGACGGAAACCAGATTCAAATTGTTAGTCATTCTCTATCAGGGAAATTTAACTAGAGTAGGTTTATGCAATTCATATTTCAAAGGAAGTAACATCTTCTAAAAGGATAATAATAATGACTCCCATGTAACTGAAAGCATTTTCCATTGCTGGGTTTAAGCATGTGGGGAGAATTTTCTCTGCAACTCTAGGCATGTCTGAAAATGGCATTGATCGCTGAGCTTTGCAGGCACAGGCCAAGTTCTCTTCCCCTTCTGTCAGTGGGATATAGTTTTGGGGCAAGATCTTACATAGTTTTGGCAGAGGCCCTCTCCATTTCTGCTTTTGGGTGAGTGGTTGTAACTGACATGTTGATTCTCTTGGATTTTGTTCCAACCTTAAGACATAAAGATTTAGACAGTGTGGAGGAAAGAAGTGCGAGCTTTAAAGAATATTGCTTCGAAAAATCCATTAAGAAGGATTTTGATTGTCAGGCAGCTTGAGGTACTAAAGTTGTTGTTGTGCCTGGCCAGCGCAAGGTCCTGAGTTTGATCCTCAGTACTGCCCCCACCCCCCAACAAAAAGTTGCTGAATCCAGATCCTCTTTCTTCAAGAAGAAACAGTTAAAAGTCTGGAGAGAAATTAAATGTTATTTATATTGCTTTCTCAGAAAATCTTTTTTTCTTTTTTGTTTTGAGACAAGTTTCACTATGCAGTTCAAGCTGGTCTTCAATTACCTTTGTGACCTGGGCTGGCCTCCATCTTGTGGCAATCCTCCTGCCTCAGCCTCTTGAGTGCTGGGATTACGGGTGTGCCCCACTATGACTGGCCTCTAGATGCTGGTCCTTTGCCTGGCGCTCTGAGCTCAGAACCCCACATGCAGGATCAGTCTAATTCTAATCAGGTCTTCATGAGGCAGATCTGATTATTGTCCACCTTCTGGGCTAGGACTGGGTCTCCCTCTTTCAATTCTTAACTGGCTACTTATTCCCACCCTATGGGTTATCTTTTCACTGTGCTATTGATTTCTTTTGTTGTGCTATAGCTTTTTAGTTGAGATTCCATTCACTGAGTCTTTGTAGTATCTCATCAAGTGTGAGTTTTGCTCATGAAGTCTCTCTTACACCTATGTCTTCAAGATGTGTTTTTTTTATTTTGTTTGTTTGTTTTGGCGGAACCAGGGATTGAACTCAGGCCCTTGTGCCTGCCAGGGAAGCGCTTATTCTACTGAGCCATCTCCCCGGCCCCAAGATGTGTTTTTTAATACAATGGACTACTACTCAGCCATAAAAAGGATAAACTTGAAATTTTTGTTGTAAATGGTTACAACTTGATACCATATTCGTAAGTCAAACAAATTAGACCCATGCGCGTAAACATATTCTCACTAGTGTGAGAAGCTGAATGAGTAAAAAAAATTAAAAATATATAAAATGTATTGTAAATTGGAAAAACACTACTCAAAAGGAAAAGAGAAACTATGGTTGAGGAAAGGAGAAAAGGAGAAGGAAATATATATATATATATATATATATATATACACACACACACAAGGTAGTTAAAATAGTTATACTACTAGTTTCTCTTGTTCATTGGAAAGTACAGCTTGTGGTAATATTGTTTGGACAATACGCTGATCTTTTGTACTCTAAGTAAGTAGGTTGAAGATAACAAATATGAAATGTATTAATTATTGTTAATTTCCAATTATCTTGTTTTGAAAATGCTTTTTAAAATTAAAAATATTTTGTCAAACTTTGTTAATAAAAATAATATGGTTTATTGCTTCTATGTTTATGTTGTGCATTACACTGATCCATTTTCATATGTTGTTATTCTTGCATTCTGGGAATAAATACCATTTGGTCATGGTAGATAGTCCTTTGAATGTAATACCTAATGCTGGTGTTTTGGTAAAGGTTTCCGAATCATTACTCATAAAATTCTTTTTATAATTATTTTCTTTGGCTTTGGTGTCAGGGTAATGCTGACCTCATGGAATGCATTAGAAAATACTCCCTGTGATTCTCTTCTGAAAGTGTTGTAGAAACTTTGTTCAATTCGTTCTCTAAATATTTGGTAAAATCCATTAGGGTATGGTGTTTTCTCTTTGGGAAGATGATCAATTCAATTCCTCAATTAGCCCTATATTTTCTGAGTGGGAAGAGGAGCAAGCACAAGTAAGTGCACCCTCTGGGAGTCTGTGTTTCAAAGAACTGCTCCATTTCATCTAGGTAATCATTGCATGCACAGATTTGTTTGTAATATTGCTATGATCTTTTTTTTTTTTTTTTTCAGAACCAGGGATTGAACTCAGGCCCTTGCGCTACACAGGCAAGTGCTTATTCTGAACTATCTCCCTGGCCCCTCTTATGGTCCTTTTGATGTTTATAGAATTTGTAGTGATATCCTCACTTGAATTTCTGATGATTAACTATTTTGACTCTATTTGTTCTGTATTGGTAATACCTTATCTTCCTGGATCTGGGTTTATGTGTATTATCTGATATTATGCTTCAAATATTCCTTCAGTTCCTTTTTTCTCCTACTGGTATTTCCATTATGAGTCATTTACACTTTTTGTCACTGTCCTACAATGCTGGACTCTTTTTCTCATTTTGAAGTTTCCACTGATATGTCATCAAGCAGACAATTTCTTCCTGTTGATGTTATGTCTAGTAAGTATAAGCCTATCAATGGCATTCTTCACATTACTGGCTTTTTTTAAAAAAAATTATTTATGTATGTATGTATGTGGGGGGGGCAGCTCAGCCCACCGGGGGCGGGGCTGGCTGGCATGTGGTGCTGGGGGATTGAACTGCGGTCCCTGTGCTTTGCTAAGCTTGTTCTAAGTAGGTGTTTTACACCACTGAGCCATCTCACCAGCCCCACATTACTGGCTTTTTTAAGTTTAGTATTTCTTTTTGGTTCTTAGTATTTCCCTCTCTGATCACACTGTTCATCACTTCTTATATATCAAACCCCTGGCTCCTGCACCTGCTTGCAGGTGCTTTAACCTGCTAAGCTATTTGGCCAGTCCCGTCTAGGCAGAATTTAACAAATCTTTCTGTTTTTCCTAACTCCATAGCTGTAATATAGTGACTAGAAAAAGCCAGAGTTGCGTATTTCCCTTTCACAAGGTCAGACAGATATCCTTACTAAGCTCCTTAACTAATTTCTCCTCAGTGTGACCAGTAAGGCTCACCCCTCATCATTTATCATCAGAATTATGAGGGGATTTTTTTTTCTCCTCAGTTATTTACTTTGAGAACCTGATTCAACTCCCGAAGGTGAAAAGCAGAAAAACTTGGGGACCATTGCATGTGTTTGGACTCCAAGTATTATAAATACATGATCTTGCCAAGCACTGGCACATACAGATCACTTCCGCACTCCAAGAGGCTGAGGTTGGAAGATCACAAATCCAAATATAAAAATAAACATAAAAAGCAAGGCTTTGGGCTTAATCTCCAAGATTGGAGGGAAAAGACGCTTTCTGGTAAATCAACTGTATTTCAGGCTTTACTTCCTGACTTTGGCTTTAGCCCTGGTTTTAGCATTAGACTTTAATTTTGGAGTAATTTGCCCAATGATCTCACCTCTATAATGGATCTAAGAAGTGGTCATTTTTAAAATTCTGTACAGCTTTTTATGATGCAGTAATGACTGCCTAACTCTTTACACCAGGAACTGGAAATGGGAATTTTGTTTTCGAAGTGTTTTTGGCTGGGTATAGAATTCTAGGTTTGGCTATTTTATTTCAGGACTTGAACATTTTCTGACTCACACAATTTTTGATGAGTCTGCTATTGTTTCTCTATATACAGTGTCTCTTTCTGAGTTGCCTTTACATGACTTGTTTCAGGTATGTTTGAATGTAATTTCTTGTGCTTAGAATTCATTGATATTCTTTGATTTATGGGCTGATCATTTTCACCACATATAGAAATCTCACCCACTATTTCTTGTCCTCTCTTCCTTAGGGACTTAAATCACTAGAATAGTAGGAAATTGGAAGCTACAGTAATGTAACTCACAGAAGTCTCCTCAGATCCACCCCTCAACCTATGTCTCCATATCACAGGGATGGGGCACATACCTGTAGACTCAAAGTAACCCTTGGTGAACAAACTATTCTCAAAATTACATCACTATTTCTTTGGGTGCCTGGCTGAGAACACTCATCCAAAATTACTTCATTCTTCTACTGAGAATCTTTGTAATCATTTTTTAAATCAAAAATAGCTTTCACACATTTTTTAGGCATCTAGTAATACAAGTTGAAGAGATTTAATTTACTGATATGGCATTTCCTTACATCAAGCTCACCTAAAGTCCTACAATGAAATGAGATTGTTCATGAGATGTCATTATTTTAATGTTTAAATACTTTTTGCTCAGTTAAAAATTTCAAATGTATGTCATTTGAACAAGACTAGTAAATACAAGACTGGTAAGTTTCCAATTTTTAGTAATCTGAATAAAGTTTTGTGATTTTTCTGTTGTAAGTTATAGTAACTGATTTTTACTAAGAAAAAAGCATTGAAAGGATGGGATCCCCTTATGAATTGAGGGAAAAAGCTGAAGAACTAGACCCAGAAAGACATGAGACACTTCAGCTTGACACTTGCAACATGAATAAACCTCAGCCACTCCTTTTATACTGTCTCAATGAAGTAGTTAGCCTTATTTCAGTTTCGTCCTCATGACAAAGTTAAAGACAGTGGCTACCAACCCACAGAAATTCTACCCAATGGGCATGAGTTACTGCTTTAAAAAAAATTACTGGAGCACAGATAAGAATCAAGAGAGGCTCATAATGACCATGTCCTAATTTTTATTATGCACAAAAACATGGGAATTGTCCGTTATTTAAAAGTTTTTGTGTTTTTTCACTTAAGTTTTAAATGATTCATTTTAACTACCATTTGTAGTACCCTTACTCAATTTCTAGTCTATTCAAATTTCTTCTGGAAATCTAGATGTTGCAGAGATAGTTATAACTGGTCATACTCAGATCAAATAAACTGATGTGGTCCATGTCCCTTCACTCCTAGACTTTGGCCTATATACCAAGTGCAGTGCAGCTATGTATCTTCCCATATTGAGTTCAGGCTTACTCAACTGTCAAACTCATTTCGGCCATTCAGTTGGCGTAATCAGCAATACAGCAGACTCCAATATGGTATTATGAACATCTACTTTGAAATCCAACAGATTTGTTTCTAGTCTTGTTCTGCTTTTACTTAGCTATGTTATAGAGGAACATCTATTAGTCTGTTCCTCTATAAAATATAGGCACCATAGAGATATTAGCAACTATAATGTTGCAATGAGTTTTATTTTTCTGCTACTTTGCAATCCTTGAATATTTTGACATCTCCACAAATCTGTTTTGCCTATTATTTCTAATATCATCTTACCAATCATAAATCCTATGAAATAGGCATGAAAAATTCACTACAGCAAAGTGGGACAGGAATCCCAGGACTCAGGCTCTCATCTCAGTTCTATCATTATGTATCCTGTGAAAAGTACTTCTCAATAAAACACAAGCTTCTCAAAGTATGATCATATCCAAATATTGATACAGAATAGTGGCCTTTTCCATTACTATCCGCAGGTTAACAATGCTTTTAACTTTTCTCTCATATATATATATATATATATATATTTTTTTTTTTTTTTTCCCCCCCGGAACCGGGGATTAAACTCAGGCTCTTACACTTGCCAGGCAAGCACTTATTCTGCTGAGCTATTTTCCCGGCCCCTCCCACATATATTCTTAAATTAGGGAAACAGCTTATGTTTAAAAGCACAAAACAGCTCATTGTGTTGTCTAGGTTCCCAGTTTTTTCTCGTATACTGTATACACACACTCATTTTTGGTTGGTAAACTTGATACATTAGATTATGTTTCGGAAATCTATTGGCCTGAAGAGTTGCAGACGAGCACGTAAAATAAATTTCCGATCATTTAACGCAGAGTTCTATGAGTTTAAAACCTTTAGGCAAATCTAAAGGGGAAGTTAAATCCATGCTCAGAATTCAGTTTCTAAGGTGGGGGCAAAAATAAGTCCGCACTCCTGGGTTGTGGGGGTGAGCACACAACTGAAAAGGACTCGAATAACAGTCTTGCACTCACTGACTCCTTCTCGAACATGCTAGGCTTCCTGTCTTTCTTAAGCCCCACCGACTGCGGCTGAAGGGCCTGGGTCGCGGCCGCTTTCTGGCCTCGGCCTCGCTTCTTCATCTTCCTCAGCTTCCTAGTAAGCCTCACTCTCGGCCACGGTCGAACACCTCAGAAGTCTTCCGCTAGATCTGAAGCAGCTAGCCTACCGCCCGCGAGACCGGAAGTGGCGCATGGATCAGCGAGCGACCGGAAGTGACGCTCTACGCAGTGCGCGACCCTCCGACTGGTGTTGTGACGTTATCCGCTTGAGCCGCGGCCGGGACCCGGATGTGATGGAGGTAGGGCGCGCCAATATGGGACGCAGAGCGCGAGCCCGGTTGGCTGATGAGCTAGCTAGCTGGTTTCCACGCGAGGGCGTGTCCTGAGGGTTGTCAGCGCAGGGTACACGCGAAGCAGAACCCTGCTGGTCCTTATAGTTCGCTGTGGCCCATGTAAATGCAGGGCTCGCTGGTGGTGTGCAGGCGGAGCTGGGGCTGCCCCACGCAGGACTCCACTCCTTTTCCTCCGTGGACCTCTGTGGCCAGGGATGGAGGCTGCTGCGCTGGGACCTGGCAGCTCGCCCAGAGCCCTGCCCAACGCTGCCCTGTGAGGCCAGCGTCCTGTCTGTGTCACAGAGGAGGCCGAGGGGCGGAGCCGTCGAGGGCTCGAGATGGGCAGCAGAAGCCGGGCTCCCGCGCTGCGCTGGGCCGGTGCTCTGAGCACCGGAGGGCACGTGGAGCGGGTGGCCAGCCTCCACTTCCCTTTGCAGACCTGCGTGCTGTCGCAGACCTGCAGCCAGTGTACAGAACTGTGTGTTGGCAGTAGTCGTCCTCCCGCGCTGAAGGTGGAGGAGCGCAGAGCGGGAGCCAGCTGTCCAAATAAAGGTTGTGCGGGGTGTAAAGCGTGGTCTCTGCGTGGCAGGACACGACAACTCGGTTGGCGTTGGGGAATAGCAAAGGGGTACTGATAGAGGGGAGGAAACTCAAGGAGTTTTGAGAACAAGAGAGGGTTTACAGCAGAATGTATTTATTGGGGGAAAGCTTCTGCCCGGAAGAGAGACAGACGGGAGACCCGAGCGGGTTACCCCCAAATCTGTTGGCTCTAGGGATTCATAAAAATTACTTAGGGGCCGGGGAGATAGCTCAGTGGAATAAGTGCTTGCCTGGCAAGTGCAAGGTCTTGAGTTCGATTCCTGGTTCCACCAAAAAAAACCCCAAAACCATACATACACACACACATATATATATAAATATATATTGTATATATGTATGTATGTATACAGACATATATGTATGTATGTATATATATATGTTTGTATATATATATATATATATATATACACGTACAGGGTCGCTACGCAGCTTGGACTGGTAGTGACCCTCCTCTCTCAGCCTTCCCTGTGCCAGGATTACAGGCGTGTGCCACGTTGCCGAGTTTTAGTGGCCAGCATGGTGCCTAAGCCCGGGGTTCAAGGGCTGGCTCAGTATGTGGTACTGGGGATCAAACTTGGGACCTTGTGCTTGCCAGGCGGGTGCTTAGACCGCCAAGATATTTTCTCAGCCCTTTTCTAGGGGTTTTAATGGGGCAAAACCATGTGGTGAGAAGGGCCTAAGGTGGAGAACATGGGAACTCGCTTAAGTGGGCATGAGGTGGGACAAAACATGGTTAACCAGTAAAATTACAAGCACAATTGCTCAAGTAAAATTGATTCAATCCAGGACCAAATGGGGAAGCAAGTCATGCAGCGAGTGGACTTGAATACAGAACAGGGGCTTTTCCTGTAGGGGGCTGAGTTAGTGGCTTCCAGACTTCTCAGTGTGAGAGGGCTATTTAAAATATCAATCCCTGGGCTGGGGAGATGGCTCAGTGGAATAAGCGCTTCCCTGGCAAGCTCAAAGGCCTGAGTTCAATCCCAAGTTCTGCAAAAAAACAAAAAAAAAAAAAAAAAAAAAAGAATAGAGGTAGAATATCAATCTCTGATGTCTACATCCTTAGGGAGGTAAGCATTCGTTTGATCTTTTGTCTTGAGGTCTGGCCCACAGCAGGGGTGTCTATCCATCCCAAAGTTGCAAGGTATCTTGCCTTCCACACTGGCTCCATTTGAAGGTCTGGCCTTGTCTGACTGCCTATAATATTTTTATCTAACTCAGTTGCCTGCAGTAAAAATGTTTTGATATCTGGGAGAGTAAAGAGTTACCAAAAAGAGGGGCCGGGGAGATGACTCAGTGGAATAAGCTCTTCCCTGGCAAGCGCAAGGGCCTGAGTTCTATCCCCGGTTCCGCCAAAAAGGAAAAAAAAAAAAGTTACCAAAAAGAATATACAATATTTGTGAAATTCATTGAGCATCTGTGCATTTAAAAAAATATTTATTTATTTATTTATTTTGTGTGTGTGTGGCCAGTTCAGCCCACCAGGGGGCGGGGCTGGCTGGCATGTGGTGCTGGGGGATTGAACCACGGTCCCTGTGCTTTGCTAAGCTTGTTTCTAAGTAGGTGCTTTAGACCACTGAGCCATCTCACCAGCCCATCTTTCTGCAAAGCTCCCAGTTCTGCAAGAAAAAAAACAACAACAAAAAAACAACTTTCTTCAAAGCTTTATTCCAGAGGGACTCGGTCCTTCTTAGCAGCTGCCTTCCTCATGGTGGCCAGCACATTGCTCAGTTCCTCAAGCTTCCTCCTGGCATGGATGTGTGTCCCCAACCTTTTCTTGATGAACTTAAGGGCACATTTGTCCTTGGAGACCTTGAGCAGCTTCATGATGTGCCACTTATAGGGGGTGAAGCCACACACCTCCCGGATCATGTGCCACACGAACTTGGTGTGCTTGTTGAGGCGTCTGCGACAGTGGCTGTGCCTCGGTTTGCTCACGTTCTCAGTTACCTTGTGGCTCTTGTTGAGGCTTCTGGCCATGGGCTAGCGGAGGGCAATGGCTACTGTTCTGTGATGGTTGCTGTGGCGGACTGTGCATTCTGTATTAACAAGTTCAATAAAATGATTTTGAGTCTTTAAACATTTGTTTTAAAACACACGTTGCCTTCCATGTTTAATTGCAGTGCTTTCCTCATATTGCTACCATGTTATCCAGAAAACCTAATGGCAGCACACTTAAATGTATTTTACATTAAGATATAATTTTCTGGTGACTTTTTAAAATTTTTTATTTATTTATTTTTTTGTGCTACTGGGAATTGAACTCAGGATGCTGCGCTTGCCAGGCAAGTGCTTGTTCTACTGAGCTATCTCTCCAGGCCCTATTTCATGTGATTTAGATATATAGTTATTAATACTTTCCTGTAAACTGCCTTTCATGTTTTATATTTCAGATTCTAATAGGGGATCCCATTACCACATGTCTTTCTCCCTCCGTATACGACATGATTTGTAAACTTGGGTTTGAATTCAAAGAAAATTGTAATATCCATAGCATTGTGGCTCAAAATGGTGAAGTATGTTGGAAAACAATCACAAAATGTGTGAGCTATACAGATCCAGGTTTGTACACTTTGTATCTTAAACTGTAGTATGTACTGGTCTTTTGAAATTATCTTGATCTGTAAAATCTGCCTTTCTAACCATTGCTTTTTATTTTTGTTATAATCCAAGCCTAACTCAAAAGGAAAAAAGAAATTAATGTGAAGAAAGGGAGTTAAGGCCAGAGAAATAGAGAAAATTCAAGGATCGCTGGGCTAAGAAAACTGATGGGCTGCTGGGGTAGCTCTCAGAGCCCAGAGACAGATGCCTGTACAAGTCATGTGAATTAAAAGTGTGAAATGATTCCTTGTAGATTATGCAATCATTTGAAATGTCTTCAAGTATTGTACTTTTTTGGGAAAGGGATATGCCTGGTAAATTTAGTATAGTTCCAACAGTGACAAATGAAATTGCTGCGGCCCCTGATTCAAAGAATTAGTAAGACAGTTGTGCTCACAGATATGAAGGTGTGGGTGTAAGGCTATTGTTTGCAGCATTGTTTGTCTTGGCTAAACAAGCAGGTGAGTATTTGGGAAGCAGCCAGACTTCAGGCATTAGGGTATTGATTCAGTAAGTTGTGATAAATACACACAGTGTAACATGGGGCAGCAGTAAAACGGAATGAAGAGGCTCCTCTGATGAAAGCTTCTCCCACTGAAAAGACAATAGAAGCACATAGATACATATGCTTGTATGTGTAAAATGTTTGTAAATAAACACAGAAGATTAGTAACACCCATTACAGAGTTTGGGGGGTGGGGGGTAAGTGGGAGACTTCAGTGTTTTTCATTATGAACAATGTAAATGTTCAATCCCAAACTTGCCAAAACAATAGTAAACAACAAAGTATGAATATTTTCTCAAATAATTTACTGACATTAGAAGTGTTATGGTCTAATAATGATAACTTTAAAAAGTTACAAGGTTATATACAGTAATTCCCCTTTATCTTGGGAGCATGTCTTTGAATGCCACCCATGTCAGTGGATGCCAAAGTAATGCGTATCATTGAACCTATACATACTGTGTTTTTCCTGTGTGCTCTGAAATGCTCTGTCCTGGGACTTCTTTTTTTTAATTTAATTTTTTTTATGTGTGTGTGTGTGTGTGTGTGTGGCCAGCTCAGCCCACCAGGGGGCGGAGCTGGCTGGCATGTGGTGCTGGGGGATTGAACCGCGGTCCCTGTGCTTTGCTAAGCTTGTTCTAAGTAGGTGCTTTAGACCACTGAGCCATCTCACCAGCCCTGTCCTGGGGCTTCTTGTGCATTGTTCACTACTCTTGTCGTTTGGGGCCATAGGTAAGTAAGAATTGCTTGAACACAAGCACTGGGCTGCTGTGTGATAGTTGATCTGGTAAATGAGATGATTGATGGATTAAATGATGGTTGGGCCATTTGATACACCAAACAACAGGATGAATGGGATAATTTCATCATGCTATTTAGAACAGCCCAGTTTAATGCAGATGGGCTACTTGCAAAACTTCCAGTTAACATTTTTGTACCACTGTTGACTGGATAACTGAAAGCTCAGATAAGAGCAGGCTAATATATAGTGTGTATCTGATTTCATGTGAATTTATATGTAATAACATTGAATAAAACATTTTGTCCTGTTCTACAAACTATACTAGTAAATTTTGTTTGAAATATCAAAAAGATTGATTAGTAATTTATATATATATACATATATATATATGTATATATATATATTTTTTTTCTTTTTTTTTTGTGGAACCGGGGATTGAACTCAGCCCCTTGCCAGGGAAGTACTTATTCCACTGTGCCATCTCCCTGGCCCTAGTAATTTATAATTAATGATGAACTCTGTTCTGAGTCACTGGCCAAGGAAAGTGTTAATAATTTAGGTCATTTAATATTTGTTACAGTATTCAGTATCTTCATCAGCTTCAAAGATGGAAGCAGGCACAGACAAGCCAGGAGGGAGGGGGAGACAGTGGTAGAAGGCCTCTGCTCAGACACACGAGACGGCATCTCTTGTGTTGCCTTCATGTACTTGTTGGCCACTTCTGTGAAATATCTGTTGTTCATTTAAAAAAAAATTTTTTTTGTTCTTTTCTTTAGTTCTATATATAGATTCTGGTAACAGCTTGTTGTCATGTGTGTAGTCTGCAGTTGTTCCTTCCTTTGGTAGGCTGTCTCTGCTTGGTTTTTTAACCAGGTATGCTAGGTCATCGTCCTCCCTTGGGAGCAAGTCTTGTGTAAGAGCAGAACACGCATGACATATAGAGACCAGGAGGACAAAGGCGTTGGTCTTTGTTCCTTTTCGGGAGACCTCATCCTGGTACATTCTTTTTTGTGTGACAACCCACTGAAATTGTGGTGTTCTAAGTAGATTTCAAAAGTAATGGAGGGGCCGGGGAGATGGCTCAGTAGGATAAGCATTTGATTGGCAAACTCAAGGATCTGAGTTCAATCCCTGGTTCCGAAAAAAAAAAAAAATACATAAAAAAAAGTAATGGAATAAGTTAGGTAGATCTTTGATGTGATCTGGAGGTCACTTGAGGGACTCATTAAACATGAGCCCTTCCCACCACTCTGGGACTGCAGTGGAGACTTGACAGTCATGGCTGTGTGAATCCACCTCATGGTAGAGCTAGGCTTTGATATTCCAAAACTTTAGTGCTGTTTGGTGGTGGGCACTGTTTTTTCTCCTTTTGCCTACTGTCCAAAGTAAGCTGTTGAGTTTCCTTTTCTGAGCACCTATGAGTTTATGTGGAGTTTCAGTATGTTCTACCCCCTGGCCCCTCATTTTATAAGATCACCGTAATGCACTTTATCTCCAGTGACATGTTTATCCTATGCTAGCTGATTTTTATTTTGGGGAAGTTTGATAATCACTTTTTCTATGATGATTTAGATACTTTTCATCATGTGATATGGAGCTGTGGTACTACAATACTTGTTTTCTCATTTTTTAAGACCAGAGTCTCAATTACTGGGAAAGCGTGAAGCGGCTGGGCCCTGTGTGTGAAGCCATCCATCTGCATGTCTTATCTCTGAACAAGGAGCAGTTTGAAATTCAGTATTCGCCATGGTTCCAGTGGACCAGTTTTCCAGAGGTTTGGTTTTTGAACACTTTTAGAAATAAAAGACTTTGCAAATATCACTCAGAGACTCATTACTTGCCAATTATAAAGGGTTCATGTCTTCATCCCTGGGCCCTCTCTCTGCAGAAATCCTGCTCAAACATTTTTTTGTTTGTTTATTTGTTTGTTTTTGAGGCAAGTTCTCACTAAGTTGCCCAGGCTGGGCTTGAACTTGTGATCCTCTTGCTTCAGCCTCCTGAAGTCCTGGAATTACAGGTATATGCCACCAGCTCTGCCTGCCATATTTGTAATAGTACTTTTAGGTGTAAGGTGAGTCACCGTGTTTTCCTCTGGCTTTAAGAACCATCCTATGTGCTGGGCGTGGTGGTGAATGCCTGTATTCCCAGCACTTGGGAGGTTGAGACAGGAAGATCACTGACCAGCCTGGGGGCTACACAAGTGAGCACAAGGCCAGTCTGAACTGTGTAGCAAGACCCCATCTCCAAAAAAAACAAAAACAAAAAAAAGAACCATCCTAAATCAATAGGAAATAAGATGTAAATGAAAATACTTAACTTTTCTGTTCATAATTATACCAGAATTTATTCAGTATGCATTTAAATAAGGAATCTTTAAAGAACTTCTTAGATATTAAAAGATTTTTCTTGTTTTATAAGGCATTATAAAATTTGAATTGAAATATTTACAAAAAAATTAAAACAGCACTTGATATAGAAGTTGAATAGTATTGCTGTTTTGAGAATGACTTACTAAGTGTGAGTTCTGACGTATGTCTTGTAGCTATTTCCTGAAGTGTTTGAAGCACTGGGAAGCCTGCACTCTGCTGCTATTTCTCTGAGCTTAATGAAGCTGACATCGTGTCTAGAGCGAGCTTTAGGTGATGTAAGTGTGTGGACTCTGCTTACCGGCCCGTTACATAACTTGGATGAGTATGAGACTGTCAGATGCTAATAGCTTTCTTGATTTTTTTTTTTACATTTTTTTTTTACATTTATTTATTTATTATGTGTGTGTGTGTGTGTGTGTGTGGCCAGCTCAGCCCACCAGGGGGCGGGGCCGGCTGGCATGTGGTGCTGGGGGATTGAACCGTGGTCCCTGTGGTTTGCTAAGCTTGTTCCAAGTAGGTGCTTTAGACCACTGAGCCATCTCACCAGCCCCAACTTTCTTGATTTTAATCATTATTTTCCTATAAAATACAATAATTTGGTACAGGTTTTCAGTATTTTTTGAATGGTGAAATTATACTGTTTATTTCTGGTCACTTTTCTCATTTGTACAGCAGTTGCTTTGTGGATAATGGTCTTACCATTAATTGGCTTGTTAGAGCATAATTACTCTGTATTTCTTGTTTGGATTTCAGGCATTTTTGCTGATTGGGAAGGAATGCCCCTTTCTTTTAAGAGATCTACTTGCGTCTGAGGCACTTGCTTGCATCTTTGGGCAGCCTGTGGTAAGCTCACTTACCTAAAACTTACAGCATAACAGCAGCAAGCTGGTGACATTAGCTGGTGCCAGGCTATCACCCTTCCTGCCTTGTTCAGAATTCTGCCTCTTTCACCCACATTGAAGGTGTTCCTACCCTGAGCCTGGCTGTGGTAGAATAACCTCTGAGGTCCAGTCAGAGGGACGGTTTTTTCCATGTTGCTTAGATCCATTACATGCTTATAATAGTACCATAGAGTAAGTTTTAACCCTTTAAAATAAAGGTATTGTGGTTTTGTTCTAAAATATCAATTTTTGGGCTGGTGAGATGGCTCAGTGGTCTAAAGCACCTACTTAGAACAAACTAAGCTATGCAAAGCACCAGGACCGC